TAGCCCGTGCACCGTAAACCGCTTAGGTAAAGCTGATGGCGATATTGTTGATGATGATAGGGGCTGGCATATTCTTATTTTCCCCGCACAAATAAGAATTTGCAGAGGGTATAATGTCTTTATATTTCTCCCACGTATGCAAATCAAGGAGAATTCCTGAAGACGTGTTTCCCATTATCCTGATCGATGGCTCAAATGTTCCCACGTCGTACATGGTACGCAACCCAACTTGCATCCTCTTAGTGTCCGAATTGTTGAGAGCGTAAGTCGTGCATAGAAGCATGTTACGCTCGTTTCTCACTTCTGTAGAGAGGCTGTTCGACGTCTTCTTAAGATCGGCGTTCACGTTAGCGGCGGACATTTTTCTTGCAAGAACTTGTAAATAACTTGTAAAGAACTTGTAAATAACGAGAACTAGCTATGCTGCGAGTAGAAGCAACGAAGCTTGAATGCTTCACCAGTCTCAGCACCGTATGCCGTTCCCCGTAGAGAAAAGAAAAAGTAGTGAAGATGGTGATGCGCTGACGTAAAAGGTCTACAACTACTTCTTTTTCAAAATGATATATACAAAAGATGTATCATTCACGTTTATTTAGGATGGGTGATAAGTTTCTGTATCGATAACATACAGTTTCTGAAAGCGTTTCTCTAAGGATTAGATTTACTTCGTTTACTTTTACGAGCGTAAGAACAATTTTTCGAAAAAGGTCTGTAGATACTTATCGCGTTCAAATAATATGTACAAAAGATATAGCTTTTATATTTATTTAGAATGGAGAGATAGACTACTATATCAATACCATTCTGTTTCTCAAAGCATTTTTCTGGGAAATGAATGTACTTGGTTCCTTTTACGTATGTGAGGATTATTTTTCGAAAAAGTCCTAGAGCTGTTTATCTTGTTTAAAATATATACAAAAGTTGTATCGTTTTTTATATTTTCTTAGTGTTACGTCCTAGAGGAGGAACGCAACCTTTTCGTTCGCGAGTAAGGCGAACCTCGTTCGTACACGCGTGTCAGTGAACGGGTCAGGGACCCGACGGGTCCCTTTACTCGGGCACCGACGTACGACCAATCGTCCGTTTTTCGGTCAGGGACGCGAATCCCTTTACCGGGGATAGGACCATGAGTTGACTGTTGGAAGAGTATATGTGATTTTGAAATCAATTGGAAAAAAATGAAATATAAACAGATTTATTAAAATGAGTATAATAACAAAATGAATTACGGCGCGGTTTAATACAATTGATAAATGACTGTGTATGTGTATGTGTGCGTGTATGAGAAGTGAAAGAAGGAGGAAATAATAAAAAAAAAGAAGGAATATGAGTAAAGAGTTAGTCGGGTGAGGGGGAGCGTGAGTGGTCGGATGAATTTAAGGGAGTGGATAGTTCGGAGAAGGAAACTGGTGAATAAGATATCGAAGGGATTGAAGGCGGGGACGCGTGTGTAGGAGAAGAAGGCGGAATACCAGGGGAAAAACGAGGAAGAAGGTAAGGGGATAGGAGTGTAGGATCCGGGTGATAATCTGTTCCTAACGCTATATTAACTATGGCTCGGAGGTAGTGGATCTGAGACGTAAGTTGGTCTGGATCGCTAATATCAAAAACTGCCTCGAACGTTCGGAAAACGTGGTGGAGGGTTATTCCTATGTTGTAATAATGACCCACTAAAAACGGATTTCAATAATATGGGGAATTAATAAGATGGTGGTAGAAAAGGTAGAAGCAAAAAAAACAGAACTTACTGCTGACTCCTGTTATCCCGAAAGTGAGCAAAAATAAAATTGTCGTTTGATAGCTCCTGCTCGGTAGGTTAAGTTGTGCTCGTCCACTCCCTTCCGGTTGTTCAATTATAACACAAACACTAATGCCTTTTGCTGATTTCTTTGAAGGTTTGCACAAACTCGGATATATGAATCGTAGATATATTATCTGAATGTCTGACTTGAAATCTAAATTCTGAATGTTCAAAACAGAATATCCGAGTGAGAGTGTGACTGCCTTTAGAAGTAGAAGTAGTGTGTCGCGGAGGCGGATTACCGCGGTTTTTATAGTGATAATCGGAGGCAGAAGCTATCGGGGTGGGTAGAGAGATGGCCTTTGAGGAAGGGGTGGATTGGTCTTAGTGGGAAAAAGTCTCAGCCATTAGCAAAGTTAAAAGACATCGTGGGAGGAGACAGTTAGTTTTTGGAGATATGAATATGGAAGGGCTAAAGGGTGGAGCGTGGGTGTCTCATAGTTTTAGGTGGATATATGATTGGCTGAATGAGTTAGGCGCGACAAGCGTGGAGGTGGTGGATTCTTGAGATAGAGAAATGTATACAAGTGGCTGGCTGGAAAAATCAAAATGCCGTAAATTAAAGGCTGGGATCAGATTTTACGACTATCAGTGAAGTAGGCTTTGTTGGTTGACTGATTGGGCACATATGGTTTTGGATTGGGAAGATGTAAGTTTCAAGTTTTAGAGCAGGAATGCTCTGTGTTGCTTTGTTTTACTGAAGGTTTGTTAGCGCGGAGTTTCAAATTTTTATAGCTAGGACGACGGACACACTTGGCGAACACTACCCAGATATAAACTTTAAACGAAGACGTAGATTTCTACAACAGGGCACTGTTTCCTGTTATGGAATTTTCCCGAATCGCCTTTCATTTGGCGCGGCGGCTGTTCGCCAGATGGGTCTGTTTCCTAATTTATATTTATATATGTATATATTCCTATTATAGTTATATTAGGAGAATATAAATCCGCGAGAGGAAAGAATTTTTACTAATTAAATCTGCAAGACGTAACACTTAGAATAGAAAGATAAACCTCTAACGATAGCACTCAGTTTCTGAAAGCGCTTCTCCAGGGCGATTAGATATACCTTGTTATATTAGTTTATTGTTATGTCAGATTAGATATACCGCTACGCGCGTGGGAAAATTTTCCGTTAAGATTACACTAAAAGAAACGTTAGGGCTTTACTAAAAGGAGATTATTACCGATAATTTTTCTATCTTTACTTTTCGAAGATACGGTTTGGGAAAAATTTTAAAAGCGTAGAAAATAGAGTAGAGGAAAAGCTGACGAAGGCACCGTCTTTCGCCTTTTCGTTCACTTCCTCCGCAACAGCAGTCGCGTATTGTGGCACGTGCTTAAGTAATATCGAAGAAGAAAATGTTGAGAAGATGTCGCTCATTGAAACCGTTCGCGCCTGTATTATCGTGGCATCGACTATAAATCCTCTCATCGAACGCGAGAAGTATTTGCGCGAACTCGTGGCTAATAACGCTGAGTGTAATTATTTAACGTTTTATAGTTTCGCGGCCTCATGCAGTAGTATTCTGTTGGGAATGCTATTTGCATGTGGGCATTTTAAAAATGATCAGCGACTTTGTGAAATTGCTGTGGATATTGTGGAAGCTCGAAGATTGTTCGGAGGAGAGACACACCACAGCCGTCTCCATGCCAAGCCTTTCGACATACGTTTCTTGCTCGAAAACTATGACGTAGGTAGGGTGATATTGAACTTGTAATTCATTTCTACGCGTCATGCGTAAAATTTAAGAAAATTAAGAATTAAATTTTTACAATGCAACAGGGTGGAGGGTACGAACAGTCAGATTTCCATGGGATAGACAAACACAACGAAAAAGAAGAGGAGGACGTTGTAGGAGAAGGAGGAGAACAATCGAACGCACCGGAAACTTCCCTAATTAGAGCTAATATTAGCGAGACCGACTATAAATTTATTCAAATTTATGGGGAAAGGATACGTAAATTTAGAAAATTTAATATTCTTGGTAGGGAAGTGTGTATCAAAGTCAGTGTATCAAAATTAAGCCTTCCCCCGACGATAACGATATCGTGCTTTACCTCGAAAATGCTTTCCGCGAAATCTATGCCTACGCGGTTAACTCGGCCGACGTAAACGACTACGTCGGGTATCGTTTGCTTCAGCAGACTTAACTCGGGGACCTGCAGGTTTATCGTTTCGCCCAGCACGTGACTTGAGTTATGGAGATATTTGGAATCTTGTGAACTCGCTAGTTCAAAGTGCTGGAGGTCACGATATACTGGAGCATTTTACTGTTAATGTTTTCAATGTCGCCTTTGTTACCTTCGGGACAAGGCGCAAAAGCGAACAAATTAACGCATGAAGGAGTTGCGAAATGTTCGATCCTTATTATAAACAATACAGATAATCTATGTTTCCCGCGCTCGCTTGTAGTTGCAATGATTTATAATGAACGCGGGAATGTGCGCACTGGGGAGCTTCACACAAAATGGAATGCTGTGAGAAAACAGAATTCTGTGATGCAGCGAGAGCTAGCACTCGAACTCACGCGGAAAGCTGGTGTTTCTATACCCGATGAAGGGTGTAACATTCCAGAGTTCGAGCGTTTCTAACTCCATGTCGTCAAGTACGATACAGCGATCACTGTTTATAATTTTAGCTCTTTTGCTCGTGGTGCGCCTCCGTTATACGATGGCAGCGGAGTGGTCGTCTCTCTAGGTCGCACGGTTAGACATAAATTAAGTATTATGTATTACGAGCGCAGTCGTCACTTTAATCCAATATTGAATTTAAGAGCTGCTAGTGGAAGCGGGGGTTATTGTGTTCGTTGCAACCGGATATAAGCCTGAAAGGGGACATCGGTGTTCAAATGCATGTCTCCGGTGTTTCGCCGTTCCGTCGTGTGAAGAAACGGTTCAACTAATCCATTGCAGCATGTGCCAACGGGGGTTTTACGGTACCGCATGCTTCGAACGACATCGCGCCCCAAAGTCATACAATGTCGAAACAATATCGAGCGTCTGTAGCATTCTCCGGATTTGCAACAAATGCGGTCGTTTACAAAACTCAAGAAAAAAACATAAATGTGGTATGATTTATTGTCGTATTTGTGGGTCGTTAAAACCACTTAACCATCTCTGTTTCATGCGCCCGCTTCGTCACACCAACGGATTATCGAAAAATCCAACGCGAGCGGAAAATATTAGTGAAACTGAAATGGAGGATGAAAATAATAAGAACGTAGAAACGCGCGAACGGAAGAAAGGTCGCGTCGCATTTGTATTTTATGATTTTGAGACACGACAGGACGATGTAGTCGAAGGCAGCGAAAATGTTAAAACGCACATGGTTACACTTTGTGTCGCGCAGCAAATATGTGATTCCTGTATGGAGATAGACGACATGACGGTGTGTTGTCGTTGGTGTGGCGTGAGTGAATTAATATTTCGCAATGACCCGGTGAAGCAATTTGTCGATTTCGCCACGAGACCAACGAAGAGCTTCAAACAGATCATTTGCATTGCGCATAACGCTAGTGCGTTCGACTCTCAATTTATTCTCCGCTACCTGGTCGAAAGTAACAACTACGTTGAGCCAAAACTTATTTTAAACGGTACGAAAATTGTACTATTAACCGTTGGTCAAACTAAATTCATAGACAGCATTAATTATATGCCGATGCGATTGTCAATGTTGCCAAAAGCTTTCGGGTTGAAAGGTATTTCAGGCAAAGGATTATTCCCTCATTTGTTTAATACCGTCGAAAACCAATATTACACCGGTCCATTACCTGATATTCGGTATTTCTCACCAGATACGATGAAACCGGATGAACGTGAAGAGTTTTTAGCCTGGCATGCGGAGATGGTTAGTAAAAACGTCGAGTTCAATTTCCAACGAGAGATAATGGCCTATTGTTGCAACGACGTGGATATTCTTCGTCGAGCATGTCTCGCCTTTCGTAAAATTTTTTTGGAGCGGGGAAAAGTATGTCCCTTCGAAGAATGTACAACCATTGCTTCCACTTGTATGCGAGTTTTCCGGAAAAACTTTTTGCGTGAGAAAGAGATAGGTATCATTCCGATGGGAGGTTACAGACATGCTAATAATCAATCGGATAAAGCTCTTCAATGGCTACTGTGGAAGGAACGCGAGCTCGGGCGCGTTATAATTCATGCCGATAGAGGACGGGAACAACGTTTATCAGATGGTACATTAGTTGACGGTTATTACGAGTCGGAAAATCCACCGCAAAGACATGTTCTACAATTTCACGGATGTTTTTGGCATGGATGTCCTGCATATTTTCGAGTGAACCGCGATAGACCACTCTCGACCTGTGTACACGCGGATACGATCGACGCACGCTACGAACGCACACTCGCAACGTCAAGTCGTCTTCAAAAACAGGGATATTTCCTTACAGAGAAATGGGAATGCGTCTTCAATCGAGAGCTGCGTGAGAATCAGGAGATGCGCGATTTTGTAGAAAATCACTCAATGCTACGTACCAAGCCCCTCGATCCTCGCGACGCATTCTTCGGGGGCCGCACGGGGAATATCGTCACGCGGTACGAAGTTACGGGGAATGAGAAGATACATTACGTTGACGTATGCTCTCTATACCCCTACGTACTGAAGACGGGCGCTTTTCCGATCGGACATCCGGAAGTTTACGTGGGCGAAGAGTGCTCCAACTTAATCGGTGTGGCTCCTGATTTTAACTTTACTACGGTGGAAGGACTCGTACAATGCAGAGTACTCGCACCACGCGAACTCTTTCACCCCGTACTACCGTTTCGCACGCAAGGTAAATTATTGTTCGCACTCTGTCGCAGCTGCTGTGAAACATTCTCTCAAATAGCGTGTACACATGAGAATCCAACCGATCGTGAATTCGAAGGCACTTGGGTCTCTTGCGAGCTACGAAAAGCCATTGAGAAAGGCTATCGTGTGACATCTGTGAGCGAGATATGGAATTATAAAATCTCACGATACGTTCCTAGTACTCGGCAAGGCGGTTTGTTTGCCGAATATATTAATTGTTTCCTACAGCTTAAGCAGAAGGCCAGCGGCTGGCCGAACGAATGCGAGGATAACGACGAGAACGCAAAAGAAAATTATTTAAGGGAGTACAAAGAAATTGAAGGGGTTGTTCTCGATAGGCATAATATAGCGCGGAATCCCGGTCTACGTTCGGTTGCAAAGTTGTGTCTGAATTCCTTCTGGGGAAATTCGGTCAACGTTCTAATCTACCGAATACAGAGATTGTTAGAACGCGAGAACATTTATTATCTTTGCTCACGAGCCCCGAGCATGAAATAATAAATATTTTGCCTGTAAACGACGACGTGATCTACGTCACGTGGCAGCTGCGACAAGAGACGCTCGTACCTTCTTCGATGACAAATGTAAATAGTAATAGCCGCTTACACGACGGCGCAGACACGACTAAAATTGTATGAATATTTAAAAAAATTAGACCGCCGTGTATTATATTATGACACCGATTCCTGTATATATGTGAGCTCCGGTGACCCCAATGAGTACGAACCGCATACGGGTAATTTTTGGGGGGATATGACGGATAAACTTGAGAACTATGATCAAGGCGGTTACATAGAAAGTTTTATATCCGGAGGCCCAAAATTTTACTCCTACGTTGTACGTACCCCGCATGGTAGAACTCACGAAGTTTGTAAAGTAAAGGGGATAACCCTAAACTTTGAAAATTCGAGATATATTAACTTTAACAGTATAAAAATTTATTAAGAGCCAGAAAAATAACTGAAAACGAGAAAGATGATGAGAAGGAGGAGGATTCGCGGAAAACGTCGATAAATTTACGTTTTAGAGCGATTTGGCGTACCGCGTTTCATGACGTCGTAACGAGAGACGAGAACAAATCGTGCAAGCCTGTGCTACTAAAACGTAGATTCGACACAGGACACTCTCTGCCATATGGCTACGTGGCGTCGTAAGAGAGTAGTCGGTTGATCCTTCTCCTCTTTCGAATCTGAACATTTATTTCTAGAAAATAAGAAAAATGTATAAATGTAAATAAAGAGTTAAGTATTCTGTGTAAAAATATACGTCTGTTTTCTCTCAATAATAACTTATCTGTATATTGCGTACACAGGAGTATGAGCTAGTGGGGCCGCCATGGAAGGCCCCTCGACGCGGGTTATAAGCCCATCACCGTTTCTTATTTTCTTCAGTATTTATGTAGCTTCACTAGGTAACAGAATCAGCCATTTAGCAAAATGGACGTTCGCTGGAAACATCCTTGGACATCTATCGTTTGCGGCTCTACGGGTTGTGGGAAAACGGTTTTCGTAAAAACTTTTCTTCATTATTTACCTACAATGGCGGATACCCGTTTCGACAGGATCCTATTCTATTATGCCGAGTAGCAAGAGGCTTACCGGCAACTACAGCAAGAAGTGACGAAATCAGGCCGATGTATGATAGAATTTCGAGAAGGCTTACCGCGCACAGATGATTATTCAAACAACCCGCTTGTCGCGAAATTGATGATAATAGACGATCTCATGAGGGAATCGTCATCGTGCGAAATAATTGTCGATCTGTTCACGAAGGGGTGTCATCACAAAAACCTTAGTATTATACTCATTTCGCAAAATCTATTTCATCAAGGACGAGGACAACGAGATATTTCTCTCAATACGAATTACATCGTGGTGTTCAAAAACCCCCGCGATCGTGCTCAGATACGCCACTTGGCCAGACAGGTATGTCCGGAAGATTCAAAGTTTTTGGAAGAAGCTTATTGTACTATGACGCTACATCGTTTCCACATGGATATCTGTTGCTCGATCTGAAACAATCTACTCCGGATGAGTATCGGTTTCGTACATGTATCCTCCCCACCGATACTACACACTATGTTTACGTTCAACGAGGATCCACCAGAAGTTACGTATAAAACCCCTGCATATGCTTATTCTGCGACAGTCTTGTCGTCGCAATGACAATGGCTGGTAGAAGCAGAACGGATGTGAAAAAGAACGATAAAACAGCAAGCCTGGCAAAACGATCCATCGGTGCGAAAAATATCTCTCTTCTGAAGGCGTTGTGCTATTTGACGGAGAAACAACGCGCTGCCTTTCTGCGAGAAGCTGACCGTGATTTCATTAGATGTATTTGCGAGTGCGCCTTCAACACGCTCAAAGGTAACGTACCGCTCGGCAGAAGAGAAAAAAATCGTCTATCACGTTACAAAGCAATGCTACGTCATATCGCTAATAACCGTGCCGATTGGAGAGGCAAAGGGAAAGTGATAGTGCAGCTTGGAGGATTTCTACCTTATCTGATTGGTCCTATACTCGCAGCTATATTATCCAAAATTATCGATAATTAAGACTGTTCGCACTTGAACCATGGAAAGAGCCAAGAAGATGGTACTGATTTCTATAGATAATCTTGAGAGATTGCAGCAGCAGGCTCATACATCACTGACCTCGGTGTCGTCGTCGTCGTTGGCATTTTCCTCGACTGCGATTCCCTCTGTTTTGACAGATAATCCCACAACTGGGTTGAACATAGCATCGGTAAAGAATGAAAATACGGTGCGTACTCCGGGTTCCGTCCTGTCACGTCTCGACATAGAGATGCATAGAATTCTCAACTCTCCAGTCTTCGGGGGGGCACGGGAAAAATGGAGGTTGTATAGAGAGGTGCTTCAGCGATATCTGTACTTTTTTCAAGAGCGGGAAAAACACTGATTACGCGGAAAAAAAGAAGAGAAACCCGATGCTGATGGTGCGGTCGACGATGATGAAAACGCCAGGGAAAGGGAAAATACCCCTCGCGAAGATGACGAATACGCTGACGGAAACACGGTAGAAGAAAACGCAGGTATAGATGCAAATGAAGATATTCCCAATATAGAGACCGGAGTACATCTAACGTTAAACGTTTCTCAACACGCACGAGCCGATACACGTAGTCGTCACCACCACACCAACGAACAGAAAAGTATCGGAAGAATATTGAATAAAGTGCCAAAGAGTTACCGAGCTAAAGCGCGCAAGCTGCTGCCACATTTGTGTGATGCGGCGGTGCCCGGACGATTAAGCTGGGACAGACCCTTGTCTGTGGACAAAGAGTCGTGACAATAGATGGTAGAATTCTGAGAGGATCGAATATCACCGACCTCTTAAACGACGCGGCTCGCGAAAAACCAGCAGAGCAGTAGCGAGAGTACAATTTGCACGCCTTTTGCGTGAAGTGGGTACTCCTCCGGAATTTGTAGGAAATCGAGAATTACTAAAAGAAGTCATAGACGAAAGTGATCTTTCCGCGAGATTGAGAGAAACTCTTCCGAGAGTTAGCAGCACTCCGCTCCCATCACCTAACGAGCAGCTTTGGTCTAAACGTAAGATTGCCCAGACGTCGCTTGAGGAAAAAGATCACGAGGATGGACGGGCTCTGTTTGTAACAACCAATGAGAATAGAAATAAAACGCGAATGAGCGGAGACACTTCTAAACCAACGAGTAAAAGACGCGTGATAGATTGGAACCCGTTAGAATTGAGTATAGCTTCTTCGCCGACGAACAGCACATCGACTTCCATCAGCGAAAGGACGAACGGGCAAACGTACTATCGGAGACACGTCTCTCGCTGAAGAACGCGATACAGAACGCGTACACGCGACATTTATAACTTCCGGTCAATATAGGCGTAAAACACGAGTGAACGACAACGCTTCTAAATCAGGGTAAAAGACGTTTGATCAATTGGAACACATTGGAATGACTGACCTCGCAAAATTCTACTACGATCCTGCACACTATGCGGGATACTCTACGATAAAAAATCTTTCGCGAGCAGCAGGACCTGGCTCCACGCGTGAAGAGATTATTCGTTGGCTTCAGGCGCAGGATGCATACACACTTCATCGACCGGCACGGCATAAATTTCCACGTTTGCATTACAACGTCAACGTCGAATATCGACGATCTGTGGGAGGCCGATTTGATTGAACTCGCTAATCTCCGAAATTACAATGAGGGCTATTGTTACTTGTTGACGATCATCGATGTGCTTAGCAAATTTGTCTGGGTAGAACCAATACGAAGTAAGACTTCGGACAGTGTGACGGAAGCTTTTCGTCGTGTGCTCTCAAGAAGCAGAGGGCGAGTACCGGTGTGGTTGCAGAGTGACAAGGGTAAAGAATTCATCGGGCAAACATTTCAAAAATTTCTGAAGGAAAAGAACATAAGTTTTCGCACAGTACGAAATCCTGATGTCAAAGCAGCGGTGATCGAACGCTTCAACAGAACGCTCAAAGAACGTTTATGGCGTTATTTTACACACAAAAATACACATCGCTACATAGATGTTTTGCAGGGCATCGTGTACGCTTACAATCACACACAACATTCAACCATTAAAATGGAACCGGCAAGCGTCACGTTGGAAAATGCGCGCATCGCTCGTGTACATATGCAACAGCGATACCATCATCTCGATAAACTCGATCGAAGAAATCATAGTCGAGGAGCTAAATACAAAGTGGGCACACTAGTGCGTGTCAGTAGAGCGAAAGGAGTCTTTGAGAAAGGATATGAGGCGAACTGGACGGAAGAAATATTTCGTATTCACCGTATTCTCGAATGGCGAAATCCCCGTGTGTACGAATTGAGTGATCTGTCAGATGAAGTGATCGATGGGATATTTTACGAGCAGGAACTAGCGGGGGTAAACAAAAACTTACAAGAAGAAGAATTTATCGTGGATAAGGTGATACGACGCCGAGGACGAGGAGCTAATAAAGAATTTTTCGTCAGCTGGCGGGGTTACCCTTCTAAATTCAATTCCTGGATAGCTGCTTCGAATATAAAGCTGCTTCCAAACCATGATGGGGGAAAACCAGTTTCTCATGATACTACCGAGCAATAGTAGCATGCGACACTATCCCGAAAATACAACTACTTCATTTATTACGGAATTGCCTCAAGAAGTGAAGCTGACTGGCTTATGGAAGGTTGCGCTTACCGAAATTCAATTCCCCTTTAGCTTTTTACACGTGCGCCCCGAAGAAAATACAGAACTCGTATTCATTTCATTGCCGCGTGAAAATATTAATACCAAAAACGCCAAATCAGTCATCATAAAAGGCGACGACCATCTACCCAAATTCGGGCTTACCCATATAACCTCCGGTGTTTACACCACGGTGAGCGAACTGCTACTGTCTTTAAACAACGCTAGCTCATTACTCAAAACACACATTGCCTGGCGCCAGGATCCTCATCGGGGTGGTAAAGTAGCGGTGTACTGCACATGTGATATTAAAGA